AAAAAATAAAAAATCAACCCTTTATTTTAGCGTCTGTCCTTTCATTTTGTGTATGGTCTTACTTTTTGCCCTTGTGTATGGTCTTACTTTTTGCCCTATAGAAGTTTTAATTTTAGCTACTTAAACTTATGAAGTTTAAAAAATTTTTTCATTAATATGAATTTTATCTCCCAAATCAAAGGGCCTTCCTGTGTTGCTATGTTGTGCTTTTTAATCAAATCCTTGTTGGTAGCAGAGTTACATCGAATGTAACCGGAGAAATCGGTGTGTCTGGTATTTCTTCTCGAATTGGTGTGCTCATTTATCTCAGAAGGGTTAAGGAAAGCTTTGGGTTAGAAGCCCTGAGTGTCCCTGAGTATCTGTCCCCTAATGATGAATAGAAAGGAACCGGAAACAAGATAGAGTTGTTAATCAACCACAGAAAGATCTCTCTTCTCAGGCAGTCTACTAAATGCACTTTTTTCCCATCTGGAGACAGCATTTGATAGTTGCCACCCAATCCAGCCATTAACTGTTGTACCTCGGAAACCTGGGTGACAGGGAACTGTGAGCAAGGCATGGATCTAGAGATAAAATGGCCCCCTTTGGGAGCACAGCTCATACCTAAATACCACATCCAAAACCGCTGTAATTTCCTGACTGCCCCAGACATATTTGAAGGGAATGAGGTTAGAGTAGTGTAATGAGTTGAGAAATGCAGAGGGGAGTCAAGAGGTAGAAAAGACCCTGTTTAATTTTCTTTGTCCCTTTATTGGATCTTGTTCCTTATCAGGAGCCAGGCAGTGATGCTGCTTCTATTCTTGCCATCACCAGTGTGACCCCAGCCCTTCTCTGTGTTCTACATACTCAGCCCGAAGTTAGAAAGGAGGCACTCTATTTTTTCTAGCAGGATATTGTGTTTGCTACTTCGCATATTTGGATAGACCTGCCTGGAAATAGAGCAGGAGGGAGTTTTAGGTTGTTGAGCAGCTCTTAAGCTTTGTACTATTCTGGGTGGTAGCTGATGTCAGAAAAATACTTAGTTTTTTATTGTGAGATGCATCTTCCATGTCTTCCTTTTCCAAGAACCTCTCTTGACTTATCCAGCAATTTAAGACAGTGTCAAGCTGGATTTGGAAAATAGTAATTCAGCATAATAGCGTGGAGAGTTCATTCTTCCATCTTCCCTGCTGAAGATGACCTTGACTCAATAACTCTGGCCCCTGCTGTCTGCTTCCTAGACATCCAAGGGCTCAGTTCTCTACTTCTTGCATCTCTTCTCACTTTGTCTTGGCTGAGCGTGGAAGCTCTAGAGGCTGAGTCATAGCAGCCCAGTAATCTATCCAATCGCAAAGCTTTTGTTTCCCTTTTCTCAAACATCATGGGGAGAAAATGAAATACTTAGTTTGAGCCCAGCCTCTCTGAATGCAAGAGATACTCTGTATTTGTATTCCTAACAGGCATTCTATTCAAGTATAGGTGGACCATTTCAAGGTGAAACCATCTAGATTCCATCTTAAGAGGTATTGCACTCTGCTGTTGAGAACTCAAGATGTGTCCTCATCATTTCTTGTCTGTTACCATGACCATTGGACTGATCATTGAAACCATTTTCTGTTACCATGACCATTGGACTCAATCTGAGAAACCAAGATTAAGTCTCAAGGAGCCTACTGAAAAAAGCTCCATTCTTCCTTTCATCAGCTAGGAGCCTGCACTCATGATTTTTCCAAAGACCACCATGTTGACATGTAAAACCAATAGACATTGGAAGAGCCAATGTTTATATTAAAAATAAAAATAATTGGGGTGCCTGGGTGGCTTAGTCGGTTAAGCGTCTGACTTTCGCTTAGGTCATGATCTCGCGGTTCGTGGGTTCGAGCCCCGCGTCAGGCTCTGTGCTGACTGCCAGCTCAGAACCTAGAGCCTATTTCAGAGTCTGTATCTCCCTCTCTCTCTGACTCTCCCCTGCTCATGCTGTCTCTCTCTCTCCTAGAAATAAATAAAAATATTTAAAAAAAAATAAAAAAATAAAAATAAAAATAATTACCATAGGGAAGAAAAAGCACAGCTTCAATATTTTATTGAATCATTCATACAATAGATGTATCTTTAGCCCTTACTATATGCCGAGCACTATGCTAGCATTTGAGAATGTATCTGGGATAATAACAGTAACTGTAGCCAACAAGTATTGAGCTCTTACTACTTACTAGATAGTGGGCTAAATGCTGTATGGGGATTATATTGTATAATTCTCAAACTTTGTTAATTGTGTTTTTTTATCATTTCTATTCAAAGATGGGAAAATAAGGCTTAGAGAGGTTAAATAACTTGCCCAGGAGCACATTGCTAATAAGGATTAAACACCAGTGTACTTTCTAATTGTACTCTTGACCTTTTTACTGTTTGCTATTGTTTCTACATGGGGCGGAAACAAGCTTCTGCCCTCATGGAACTAATGGTTTAACTTGGGGAACACTTTTCTTCAGGTAGACTCCTAATCAGTCTCTGGAGAGATGTGGAGGGTCGGCCAGGGGAGCCTTCCCACCTTTCAGCAGGATTTAGGCTGGTGGTACATTCTTAGTTGATGGGAGTTGGTTGATTTCATAGACTCTTTATGCTCTCTGATCACACCGTGTCCCCCATCTCCTGTATTCTTATGCTCTCCTCCTAACATCCTTTGCCTTATCCTTCTTCCACCCCCCTTTCTCTCTGAGTGCCCTCCCCTCCATGACTGCTTATTTTCTCTCCCATCTGGACAATCACTAGAGTCCCCAAATGTCATGCAATGCAGTTTTGAAGGAAAACATGGAAGGAAGGGAAACTCACTGCAAATGAAACGAGCTATTGATGGATGGCTCGGTAAGCCTAGAGGTCCTTCTTTAGCATTCGCTGGCATTTAAGGGACTCAGGATTCCAAAAACGCATCCACTCCACTCTGCTAGTGCTAATCTCATTTTTTCCATGATTAACAACTCCGTTCATTATGTTTTCAGCTCACATTAATCTTCTCTTCTGTGAGTTTGGTAACATTTGGAGTCATTTCCCCCTGTATTTATCCATCTGGGATCTTTAGAAAAGATAAGTTTGCAGAGAGTCATTTGTTGCTCATGCAGAAAATCATTTATTACTCACTGTGGTAAGAGAAATGAATATTCTCCTTGTTTCTCCCATCCTGAGAGGACCCTCTGAAATCACACATGGAGCTCCATCAAACTCCATGGGGTACTGAATTTGGGATTGAGCTTCAACATAACAGCATCAGAAATCACAACAAGCAATGCTCCCTTGATCCCAACTGTTCTTAGAGGGCAGATAATGTTGGGAGAGAGTTGTAAGGGTAGTAGAGAGACTAATAAGTTAGGAGATTAATAAGTCAGAATAGAGCCGTTGGCATGAGTCCTGTCTCTACCACCTACAAGCTGTAACCTTGGGGAAATCACATAATCTCTCCAAAATCCACTCGCTGCCTCTGTGAATTGGTCCCAAAGATACCTGTCCTGTCTATATGAGAAAGTAGTTTTGAGGGTTCACTTATATTCTCATTTCTGTTTCTGAGTAAGCTTATATCCTTACTTATATTGCTTAATTTTTGCCATTTCAGAAGCCCCTTCCAACAATATTTATATATATTTATATATATATATATATTTACATATATATATGTATACATATGTGTATATATGCTGTAAAACCTTGGTTTTCAAGCATAATTCATTCCAGAAACATACATGTAATCCAAATCACTTGTATATCAAAGTCAATTTCAAGAGCCATTGGCTCAGTTGTGATCATGTGACATCCGGCATCATGTACCACCGGAATTGCAAGACATCACTCGTTTGTCAATTTAAAATGTATTAGAAATGTTTTTCTTGCAGAACACTCAGAGAGCAAGTTACTCGCAATCCAAGGTTTTACTGTATATTTATTGTATATACATATATATAATTTATTATGTATATGTATTTCAACAATAATATATACATATATATGACTGGGAAAAAAACAATAAGCTATTGGGGAAGTCTTAGAGGCCAATATTTTTTAATCCTTATCTTATATTTTAAAAAATCTTGGAGGTCTGTGTCATATTTGAAGATGTATTGGGAATGGGATAGGTTGTTTAGAAAACAGAATCAGGGTGACAACAACTCTTTTGGGGATTCTGTTCTATCAGTCCCTAGCAACATTTTGTTGTAAAGGTTGGAGTGCATTTATTCATTTCTTAATTCAAGCAAGATGTTTCTTTGGAGAAAATATTCCAATTGGATATCCATTCAGGAGCCAAGACAGTTATTGCTATCTGTGGTCATTAACCATGAAATATCAGTATTATTTCTCACTGCTGCTCAAGAGCACGTCTAAGCTGTATTAATGCATCTGCTCCTGTAGAAAGGGGGAAAGGCATAATTAAATTCTATTGCTATCTAATTTAGAAGGGGTTCGGGATGTTGAGAGGACAGGATTCTAGACTGTTGGCTGTAATTCTGCACAACTGAGAACAAGGCAACATAATTCGGAAATGTTGTCATTTATTGACCGTCCTTTCCCCGAGCACCTGGGATTTGAGCAGGAGACTCCCATTTGAAGACAACTCCCAGCAGTGCCGATGGAAATTACCTCTCCTGCCCACATAGAATGCCAGACACCTGGGAGCACTTTTAATTGCAATGTACCGCTCTCTGTTAAAAAAAAAAAAAAAAAAAGCTAATTGCCTCTGCTTCCCTTTCCTTTAGGTGCCCAGGCAAGGACAGGAATAATGAAGAGACACATGTGTTAGCTGCAACCTTTTGAAGCAAGCAAGGAAAAGATCAGCAGTGTGGACAAGGCTGGACCCGTTGCCACGCTTGCTTGTTGGAGTGAATGAGGAATGGGTTTGTGATTATGCTGACATTCCAGCATGAATCTGGTAGACCTGTGGTTAACCCGTTCCCTCTCCATGTGTCTCCTCCTACAAAGTTTTGTTCTTATGATACTGTGCTTTCATTCTGCCAGTATGTGTCCCAAGGGCTGTCTCTGTTCTTCCTCCGGGGGTTTAAATGTCACCTGTAGCAATGCGAATCTCAAGGAAATACCTAGAGATCTGCCTCCTGAAACAGTCTTACTGTATCTGGACTCCAATCAGATCACATCTATCCCCAATGAGATTTTTAAGGACCTCCATCAACTAAGAGTTCTCAACCTGTCCAAAAACGGCATTGAGTTTATCGACGAGCACGCCTTCAAAGGAGTGGCTGAAACTTTGCAGACTCTGGACTTGTCTGACAACCGGATTCAAAGCGTGCACAAAAATGCCTTCAATAACCTGAAGGCCAGGGCCAGAATCGCCAACAACCCCTGGCACTGCGACTGTACTCTCCAGCAAGTTCTGAGGAGCATGGCATCCAACCACGAGACAGCCCACAATGTGATCTGTAAGACTTCTGTGTTGGATGAGCACGCCGGGAGGCCATTCCTCAATGCTGCCAACGATGCCGACCTTTGTAATCTCCCCAAAAAGACTACCGATTACGCCATGCTGGTCACCATGTTTGGCTGGTTCACCATGGTGATCTCATATGTGGTGTATTACGTGAGGCAGAATCAGGAGGATGCCCGGAGACACCTTGAATACTTGAAATCCCTGCCCAGCAGGCAGAAGAAAGCTGACGAGCCCGATGACATTAGCACTGTGGTATAGCGTCCGAACAGACTGGCACTGAGAAAGAAATTCGTTTGCAGTTGCAATAGAATAAGTGGTTTACTTCTCCCATCCATTGTAAACATCTAAAACTTTGTATCTCCCTTTCTTTGGAATTATGCCACTGTTGAACTTTTAACAAACGTGACAACATAAAAAAGAATTTTAGTTTAGGTGTCCCGCCCCTTAATTGTACCCCCAGTGGTATATTCCTGAGTAAGCTACTATCTGAACATAAGTTAGATCCATCTCACTATTTAATAATGAAATTTATTTTTTTAATTTAAAACCAAATAAAAGCTTAACTTTGAACCATGGAAAACAGAGTGACTTATTGGTCCAGAAAACAGTACAGCCATTCCCTTGCGTTCAAGAGAAATCAACAAGCCTTATTAACCTAAAGAACTACCATAATGAAAGATGTGATATTAAGCCCTACTGTACACAGGGGAGCCATAGTGGAATGATCGACCAAGGAGAGTATCCGTCAGACTTTAAAATACTGAGCTTTAGCAAATCCGAGGGGTAATGCACAGTGTGGCATCCTGCAGAGGCTCCAGCTGGGTGCCGCTAGGTGTTTGCTATCAAAATGTTGGTGTGTTAAGATGTTATATTAACTATATTATATTATATTATATTATATTATATTATATTATATATAGCTAAACACACTACATCTACTCTATGCTAGATACATGGAGACAAAATGGACAGCACATATTCTGTGCTTAAGATCACTTTGGTGGGCAGGTGTATGTGACAAACACAGAAATAGGAAAGGATACTGTAGGATACTGTACTGTAGCATCAACTGTGTACGAGGCATTTATATACTGTTATTAGGCCTCTAACCCTTCAATGTAAAAGAAGAACGTGACAGCTGCCCCATTTACATAAGAGGAAAGTACAGGTGAATGGAGTCCAATGAAGTAGAATCAGGTAGAAAGTATTAGAACTTGAACTTGAACCAAGTGTTCCTCTCTCTAAAGGCAGAGACGTTCTTGTTCTGTTCCTACTGGGATGGTTTGGAGACATACAAATTACATGCTAAAAAACTGGCCATGTTAAGTGTACAAGTTCCATATGTTTTGACAGCTGTGTGTCCCTGTATGTCAAGATATTGTGTCCCTGAAACCATTCTGAGATAGGAGAAATCTCATTCAGTTCTTGGAGTAGAGAATTGTGGGTTTAGGTTGGGTTTGGGTTTGGGTTTTAAGGCACCGTTAGTTACAGATAACTCTTGGAACTTGGGTGGGATCTCATCAGATGGCGATACCTATATTGGAAGGTAGATGAAGCAGGGAACCAAAGAGGCAAAAATGTTGGGTGGTATTTGGGATGAAGGAATCTATGTAAGGGAGAAGTGAGAGACAAAGTTGATCCTCCCCTATCACGAGGATCTCAATTCCGGGCTCGGGATAAGAATGACTAATAGAATTTATGGAAGGCTCACAACAACTCAACAAGTACTTTCATTGGGTTGTATTGATTAATCTTCCCAATTACCCTATGAGATAGTCTTTTCTGCATGAGATATCAGAGATACAAGAGTGTAAGTAATTAGTTCAGAATCCTAGGACTTATAAGAAGTACAGCGGATACTGAAATCCAGTCAGTCAATTTTAGAACTGATGAACCTCTTACACACTAGACTGCATTGCTTTGCAGTCATTCATTTTACTACTGAAGTTGCTGCTGCCCCAGACCAAGAGGCTTGCAGATTCCTAAGTGATGGTCTCATTAACAAAGTAATGAGCAACAGTAGCTTTTTGTGGGGCTTAAGCAGGAAGGTTGAATACTTTGCAATTTTGACCCACGGAGCCTTCTCCAACCCACGTTAGGTTAACTTTGGGCCTCCAGGAATCTCATTTCTGCCCTTGGAAAGCACTACAGTTCCTATCCATATCAGTAGTCTCTTAAGAAGTTCCTGATGGCTCATGAGGGTCAGCCACTCCGATACCTATAGTAGAGCATTCAGAGCCATGTGGCAAGGCTACACTGGTACACCAGGGCAATGGGATTGTAACACCCATCCTAGCCTTACAAGAAAATAAATGCAAGACCTAGTCCACAAGTCTGAGATGTGAAATTCAGAATATGGGCCCTAGTACTTCTGCATCCCAGTGAGAACAAAGCCAAACTGTCTGCTTTTGCTAACTGGGTTTGAAAGCCTTCCAGAGAAATTGGAGCTTTGCTGAAGATTTAACGCCCCCTGGAGGACAACATTATAATATATCTCTGTAAGTACTACCATAGAGAGATGCCCAACTGAATGCACCTTTCCCCCACTAAAGAATAGGAAAGTCCAGCCCTTGCAAAAGATAACCCTTAAAAATTGTGTTTATTTGAGTGGGGAAGTCACATTCATTTTAGAAAAGCTTCCACAAATCATGTAATCCATTTCAGGTTGCTTCTTCCGAAACAACATTTATATTTCTTACTAATAAGAGTTTATTTTCCTAATGGCCAATTGCATTAGTAAAGTGAAAGTACATGTAAAAAAAATCTCGGAAGAGTATTACAGTATAGTGACTGCTGGCTCAGATGTAGAAACATTAAATTCCCACAATTTCGGTTGTATTTCTCTGCGTACACAGAGTTAAGAGGTGCACCCTCGGTTAATAATCATTCCCCTGCCTGGATTCTGTATATAGATTTTCAGCTAACAGGATGTAAGTGTGAGTGCTTTAAAACAACAACAACTTTCGGTTAGGTTGCTGTGATTGGAGTAGTTAAGCCATTGGAGGAGAACATTAATTCTTTAAAGGGCAAAAACAAAACCAGCTACCAGGCTATCAGTCCCCTTCATGACCAGAACTGGAAAGAAACACACTTCCCATAGGCCTGTCAGGATGTTCCAGCAGTGACGATGCCAGTAAGTGGCTTCCTGAGGCCTGTGGCTGGCTGTACAGGAAAAGACCCCAAATGCATGTGTTGATTTCAACCCCAGCATGCTTTGTAAGTTTCTGGACTCTCATTACTGTCTATATACAAGGCAAGCTACCTCTTTTAGAACTGTAAGGTTTTTGAAATTCACTATCATCTGAGGCACAGACACACCATCTTGCCTGTTAAATATTTTCATGAACAGTTTCTTTGCCCAACTCCCTCCTTTGCCGTGACTAACCTAACCTCAATCTTTCTGGTTCAAAAGTACCTGGGAAGTTGTGTCTAATCATTGACAATGCACTTATCTCTGAAGCAAGGCAAATCATAAAACATGCCAGCCCAACTGGAACATTTTTAAGAAAGTGATAAAAAGTTATGTAATGGAAGATTTAACTTTCAAGAACACTTTGGCAAATTGAAATGCACTGATATACAAATTCTGCCAGGTACACGGTGTTCTTTTTTTACGTCCTTCGATGATTACCCACAATAATTCTTGTTCTGACATCAACAAGCATAAGGCAGTCTGAGATGTGGGTAGGTTTTCCTTATTGGCTCGAGCCTTTCGATTCATTCAGTAAGTTCTCTCATCTATCTGGCACAGCTAGAGAATGGAAAATTCTGCCTAATGAAATGTTCAGGTTACTAGAAATAGGCAAACTCCTAGAATTTCAGGGCTGGAAGAGCTCTGGAGATGATCTCACCCACTGATTTGACAGGGGCTGAAATGGAAACCCTTCAGACCTGGATATTAGCATGCCTGTGTCCATACTCTCCACCCAGCGTCCTTCACAGGACACCAAGTGCCTCTCCTGATGAACTGTTCCCCAGTCTTCAAAGAAACAAAACAGTGTAACAATATACAATGTCCCAGTGACCAGCAGCAGTTTCCTTGAGGATTCAGAAGGCACTTGGCGGTTCCTACGTTGTCATGGTTGTAATGAAGAGTATCCGTGATTCTAAAAAGCTTCTTGTTCCCTCAAGGTGGAAGGAGATCATCTATTTTCCTTTCACAAACAACCCCCAGATAACATACTCAACATTATGCAAGATCTGGATTCCCAGGGGAGAGATGGAGAAAATGATCTTTGTGCAGCTTCCTGGGGAGGGAGGGTTGATTAGCAGGTTTCCTTGAGTAGCAGCATAAACCCTGCGTGGTCAAGTACAGCCTTGCTGATGGAGGGGAGTCACCACCTTTAACCTGACACTCTCCAATTCCAGAGCTTTTGTCAATCTGGCTTCCCAAAGTGATGTCACTGATTCATCAAGATGGCTGGTCTGACCCAGATAAAGCAAACCAAAGACAAACTCATTTAACCACACATATGTAAATGCCCTCCCAACCCTTTTCCAAATCCAAATCTAAATAGAATTTAGGGAAAAGAAAGACCTGAATTCCTCATCCCATATCTGCCCCATACATAGTTCTAAATGCCCCAAATGAATAAGCAAGGGACACTCCTTAAGGTCTAAGACTTTAATGCCAGCCCAGGGAATTTATGATCTTGAAGCTATAAGATGGATGGATATAGAGCCCCACAGTATCGTGAGTGGGAGGCAGTAGAAGAAAACTCACCCCTATTTATGGCTCTAAATTATTTAACGTAGAAAGAACCAGAAGTTTTGTGAATTTTTTAAGAAATGTGTGTGTGTGTGTGTGTGTGTGTGTGTGTGTGTCCATGTGCACATTGTGGCAACATGGTAGGAAAGGAATCGGGTCTTAGAAGTGTTAGGAAAAGAGGTAGTAAGATTGGTGAAAACAAATTATTACAGTTATCTGGTCTAGGGGTGGCCCAGGTTTGGAATTTCCAGGGAAATTATTAGATGTATTTTCAAGGCTATCCCCAAGTTCAGAGAAAACATTTATGCTTGTCACTAATGGCAACTGAGTTAATCAGGTTGGGGAGCTGTGTGCTTTCTTTGGCTGACAAATGTTTTGCATCTTGCTCACTATTTTCAAAAATGAATCAATGCATTTACTTTCTTTGCCTGTAGATATATGAGCCTCCAGCTGACAAAAGTTTGCTGAATCTGACCTTAAAAGCCAGGCCTGAAATGAATACATTGTAGGTCTCCCGGGGGTTGGAACTGAAATTCTATTTTTTTTCTTTTATATTTCGTTTACTTTTTTCTTCAGAGAAGGGTTTGCAAAATGGAAGGCAATTTGAAATCTGGCTGTCGGTCTCAAGATTAATAAGCCATCTGTTGAGCTAATGGCATTGATTGTTGAATAGATTTTAAAATAAAATGGCCCACAGGGAGTGGGATGGGGCTAATTTACACAGATCCAGCTTCCCTGGGCTTATCCACATTCCTTCTGGAAGGAAGATATATGAAAGATGCTGGTCTGCTCTCAAAGTCTTTCATCCTCACAGACTGCCTTGCCAATTCCCTGGCTCTCTGCAGAGCAAGCCGCAGTGACA